CAAATATTTACATAATAAAAATAAACAGATTCTATCCAGCCAATCAGTAGATCGGTTGCAATTCTTAGGCCATGAATCAATTACGTCATAAACATAATCGAGTGCATATTATGTATCTGCCGTTAATTAGTGAGCGGTGCGCTATAAAAGTAGCATAAGTATTGCTACAAAATCTATTCCATATAATTTTAGTTTGAGATTATAGTAGAACATTTTTAGAAACTCCCATTTTAGTTGCTTTAATTGTAATAATTGCTTATAAATAAAAAATTTTTTCTCTTTGAAATAATTTTTGAAGTCTCGAGAAATTAAAATGCTTGATAAGTATAAATTAAAAAAATTAGGCAAGGAGCTTGACGAAAATCTTAATGATTGGAAAACATTATATCAAAACATACTAGACGCTTTTAAAATACAATATAATCCAGTATCACAGTGTGCTAAAACAGAGGTAATTTAGTTTAATTCATATTAACATATAATTGCATAAGATTCTAAAATATTTCTATACTAATATAAAAATAGTTCTTGGTAATTGATCTGGTCATTGACCTTAACAAAGTTTTTGCAAATCGAGAGCGCATCGAAGCTAGAATTATTCGTATATTTGGAGATGTAGTTCAAATCCCGGAAAACCTTGTAATCCGAGATTTGGATGACGACTACAACGTTATATTAATAGTTGCGAGACGAATTGAAATTAAACCAGGATGTCGAATATTTGTTAATAATGAGAAAAAAGATCCTTTTCGGCTTGTTATTTATGCTATGGAAATTCCATTAGACCTTATTATAGAAATAAAATCTATACACGATACTGTTACCAATAAATTTACGTCTAACCGCGAATGTAAGCACATTGGTGGAATGCTTTCAATGCAAGATGGGCGTTTTGAATATATAAAATATTTTGAAAAATTCGATACCAATATTCTTCAAAAAAAGGCATTTAATAAAATGTTGCAATTTTCTCTGCAAATTGCCTGTGCTTTATTTTATGACGAGCCAAAAATTACGCAATCAATTCTTACATGGATTATTGAAATAACAGCACAATCACAATCTGAAATGGTAAAGGAAATATATTATCATGGATTGGCAGTTTTTGAACGATTTAAAATCCTTAAAGAAAGGATGGAAAGAACGAATCAAGTACGTTTTGTTCCACCACTTGATAAGAAACAATATTGGAAATATATCGAGGCTTTTATGAAAACTGTAAATTCTTACGAAATTGAATATCTGACACTTCTAGAAAATAGAGATATTAACAAATTGGAGAGAAAAAAGCTAAAATTGTTATTAAATGATTGCAACGATGCAAAACAAATGTTTCAACGTTTTGAGGAAGAGAGCAACAATCTTTATCAATCATCATATGAAGTTATTAAAAAAGCAAAAGGAGATCTTGAGGTATGTCAACACGTTTTATAATAATTAATTTCAAATCATAACGAATATATATATATTAATAGAAAAGAAAAGAAGAAGTCATTAATGCACGCATTGCTTTCGAAGATGGAATTAATGAGTGGAGGAGAAAACAAAAATTTGCCGCGAAAAAACAAATTGCTATTGATATTTTTGAAATATTATTAATAATTGGTAAAATTATTATTCAATCTGGTAGTATAATCGGTCTTATCAAAACCGTAAAAGATGTATCAAATTCAATTCAAAATATTTTTAAAGACATTTTCGCAAAAAAGATCATGGACATATTCAGCTCTGATGATGTAGAAAAAATCGAAAAGTTATATAATCCTGACGATGCGACAAAGATTATGAAATTAAATGATATAATTAAGGAAATCATTAAATCTAAACATGAAATAGAAAGTTATAGAGAAATTGCTAAAGAACGTACTAATATTAAGGACGAAGATGGAGAAATCGAATTATTGAATATCGATAAACTTGCAAAAGTGTAAGACAAATCATTCATATACAATAAAATTATCTAAAATTAAAATAAATTTAATAATTTTTTTTATTAGCCTCGAAACAAAAGATCAAAAAGGAATCTTACTAAGTACCGAATGGAAATTAATCCATGAAAACATAGAGAAATTACTCAAATTAGTAAATATATTTAATTAATATTGTTTTAGGGAAAATTGAGCATCTGATACTTAATATATTTACTAATTGCTATCATATTATTATTAGCCGATCGATAAAAAAATCGAAGGTGCAAAAGAATACTTAAACTCATTAAAGAATTTTTTTCTTTTTATTGATTCGTACATTAAAGCCAAAATTGAAGAAACCAAAAATAAAAGAGAATATTCACGGACTCAATTACACGTAGAAACGTTCAAGAGAAAGGAAAATCGACTTAAAACTATGATTGAAGAATTTGAATTGAACCAAGATTATTATAATAATATAGCACTTTTGCTATTTGAAAATCTTATCAATTTAAGGTGCTGGATTATGGTATACATGGAAAATTATCGTTGTGCCTTTGAGTATTGGTCTCTTTCAGAATCTAAACTGAAACTTTCAGTTATTAAAAATTTCAACGAATACGAAAAGGATATTAATAATGAATTAGTAGAAATTTACAAAAAATTTAATGGTCCACCACAAGAATTTAAACTCGAAATTGATGTTGTTGATGGAAACCAAATAGAAGAATTTAAACGTAATGGGTCCGTTACAATCGATATTCCGTTGGATCACCCCAAGTTATCAATGATTGATAATGCTCGACTTCATGAATTTCAAGTATTTTTGATAGGTGTTGGCTCAATAAATGATGAAATATCACTTAGTATCAATAGTTCAAATTCGTTTTTCGATAGATATAAAGGAATTAATTATAAATTTAAAACGGTGCCTAGAAGAAGTCAATTGTTTACGTACAAAGTAAAGGAAAAATTGCCTGAAATATTAACTCATTTTACGTACGACAATGATACTTATTTCAAACCAACTCCATTTAGTCAATGGATAATTATGCTTGATAGCAGAGATCTATATCTATCTAAGCTCAAGTCAATTAGATTAAAAATGACAGTAGTTGGCTATTACAATGTAAGTTTAAAGATTTATTATAATGTAAGTTAAGATTTGTTGCAATTCTCGAAATAGTTTGTTTCCCATATGCATTTTATATTTTACAATTATTACATTCGCATAGAATTCTTTTTTTTTAAAAAAAAACTATTTCGATAATTACTGCATCTGGCAGATACATTACTATGTAAACCCTGCGGAAAAAAAAATTTCACATTACAGCTGCAAGTTATTACTATTCTTACTAAATTTACGTTAATATCATATAAAGAACATGCAGAAGTAATATGAAAATTTTCCATCAGTGTATACAGTCATCTGGCATGAAATCCGGATCATGGACACTTGACCTCTAGTCACATTATTTTGCTACTATTCTACCAATGCCTATGTATTTGTCATATTATAATACCGTATTTTCACAAAAATAGCGCGCAGGGGTGTAATTTCAAATTTTGGCCCAAATTAAGCTTAGTTCGGGTCATTATTCTAAATAACGTTATTACGCGAAAATATGGTATTCACCTTGAAATATACATTAACTAGAATATTCTTTTAATTGCAATAGGGCGAAACGATCTAGATATTAAATTTACGAATTTATTTAGAAATCATGTTAAGGATGTTACGGTCCAATAAAGACTGAGTTTATAAACTGATCCAACCGGGTTTGGTTCATAACTTTGAACCGGTCTATAAATGGCCTCATACGAAATCCATTCATTTATTTATCATAACATATCCAATTTAAGCTGATATTGCGAATTTATTAGGAACTGACTATAAATATATAAATATATAAATCACCCTATTTTATTATTAATTGCTTACGTTAATGACTACAGCATTATATTTCCTGTATTCTTTAAAGACCGGTTTATAGTTTTTGGCCCGATCTGCAGTTCAAAGGTTAAATCGGGATCAAGACCATCTCTAATGGTTTTTACTGTCTTTTTATTATAATGTATAACTTCAAATTTTAAAGTAATTAGACTGAGATTAGAATTAGGAGTGAGTAAAGGTTTTTATGGGCTAAATAATAAATTGTATACCTGACGAATTTCGTCTTTAATGGTGTTTAGTCATCCTAAATTTAATATATTATTAATGCTGACATATAAAGTTTTATATGATAAGAATTAATTTAAAGAATAATAAAAATACTATTGCGCCGGTATTTTTATTAACAAATAATAAACTTTTTTTATTACGCCTTTTAATTGTTGTATTTAGATTAAACTAAAGTTTTGTAATAATTGGTTACTGATGTAGCATAGTAGACAATCCTATGATCGGCTAAAAATTAATTGCCCGGGTAACCTATTTATACACTTTAAAGTACGTACGTACTTTCTGAGAACGTAACGTTTCACTAACAAAAAAAAATTGATATGAAAGCAATTTCTGACTCTATACGAACGTAGATATTCGCTATTAAAATTAATCCAAAATAATCTACACCTCACTTAGAAGTGAATATATTACTAATTATATTAATAATAATACGTAAGTTCTAAATGCTGAAAACGGTCAACAAAAAAAAAAAAGAAACGTTACATGTAAGCCTTAAACCTAAAGAACTTTGTGTATAACGCTTGACATTCTATTCTAGTAACGATAAGCCTGTACTAATATTTTGCATATTCTAATTATATTACTAGGAAAATGCATAGCATGGCTTACCCGGATCAAACATTGCCGGGAATTTCCATGTATGGGTTAATTTATCCAAATAAGTTATACAAGTGGTATGTTTGGATATTCGGTAAATATTTGTTCTATTGTCACGATTGATTGTGTCTGCAAATCGTAACATTGTCCATTTTTAGGCTTCCTTAGTTTTAATCGTTTCATGGTGGAATCTCTTAAATCATGTTCTATTGAACATACAAATTCGGTTTTTGAGCAATTCTAATAATCCATAGTCGCTGATTTTCTTTAGTGTCGGATTTCCTTTGAGTTTCTTTGATATAAACATTCGGTCTTGTGGTTTAAATAGTTCTAAATATTTATAACTGTAGTGTGTATTTAATATTTTGTTAATACGGTTGATTTTGCTTTGTATCTGGTTTTTCCCGTATTCTAATAATTTCTTGTATTTTTCAAATTGGAGTATTTCTTTGCGTGTTGTAGTTTCTGGGTGTACTAAATATTCTTGGTGTGTCATTGCTGGTATATGTTCTCTAATTTCTTCTTCATCTACCAGGCTTTCTATATCTTCAAAGCAATATTTTGCTTGTTCATTGTTGGTATATGCTTGTTCTAAATCACTATAATCTTCACAGTTTTCATAGTATCTATGTATTTCATTAAAAATATAATCTAGTGGTTGTTTAATCATTGGTATTAATAGTAACTGTATTACTTCATCATAAGTATACCATTTCCATTCAGATGCATTCTCTGGTTCAGTTTGCTTCAGTTTTATCCAGATATTAACTGGATAAATAAATACTGTTTGTCGTATTTTGTGAGTTGCTTTGTCTGGTGGGCAGTATTTTTCTGCCACCCATTCTTGTGAGCTTATTTTAAACTCGGTCCATACTTTGATTAATTGTGATTTTTCTAAAAGTACGTTTGATTCTTCTAATGCTTCTCATATTGCTGAGACTTCTTCAGATTCACATAGTCTTTCTAATTCATCTATTTCTCCTTTTCCTCCCATCCTTGATAGTTTCCATAAAATACTTTTAAAGGGTTATTTCTTTGTGATAATGCTATTTGATATTCTTTTGCTAGGTGGTATCTAAATAGCACTGTTTGAACTATATGTTGGGTTGGTAGGTTGAGGTGATTAATTAGTGATTGGGCTATAAATTCTAAGTTTCTGCATGTGAAACAGGTGTCATAATATGTTTCTTGGTTTCTATTGATTATTTTTTTATAATCTATGATATTATTGAATTTATTGCAAGTAATACATTTCCAAAGTATTTTATACTCTAAATCTTCAATCATTGATAACTGTTCCATTTTCATTTAGTTGTTTAATAGTATATTCTATTAATTCAATATCTTCTAGTTCCTTTTTACATTGTTCTATTTCTTTTTGTAAGATCTTGGATTTCTTTAATTTAAATGCAGTGGTTTGTACATATCTCCTGTAGTTTTAGTCAATTTGGTTATACTGGTAACAGCATTGTAATTCTATTATACTATTAGTTTTCTTGATTTTCTTATCAAAATGTTCTTTTGTGAGGTATCTTTTGCACTTTGGGCAACATTTCTTTTTGTTGTTTATTTCTGAAATAGGTTTTGATGGTGTATAATTTCAGTAATATTTTTTTCTACACTCTTGACAGGATTTAAGTTTTCTGTAATCTTTAACAAATAATTCTAAAGGTTTTTCTCTTGAACAGATAATGCAACTAATTAAATAGTTGTAATAAAATGTTCTGTTATCATTTATAATTTCTACAGATCTTCATTGTTTTTGTTGTTTAAGTCTAAGTTTGCATCTATCACAGGTTTTACTTGTTTCTTCTGATTTATTGAGAATTGTATATATTCCTTTGGGTGTTCTGCACTTGGTACACTTCTTGATACTCTTGTTGTGATACTTCATATATTTCTTTATTTATTTGATCAATGATAGCTTGTCTTGCACTTGTTATTTGTATGTTTGTTCGGTATCATTCAGAATTGTGTTCTGAGTTTGCACTTTGAGTTCTGCACTTTTTGCAGGTTTGGTATAGTATTCTTGTTCATTTTTCTCCAAATTCTTCTTTTAATCTAGTGATTCTGCATCTTGAGCACTTTTTTGTTGAAGGCTGGTTTTCAATATTTTCTTCTTAATTATTCCTTTGTATTTGATATTTTCTTCGATATTCTGGGTTTTGAGCTCTTCTGTCTCTGCAGTGTATTAGAGGTCCAATCCGGATAAATCTGTCATCCATTTATCCATATCTGAATTTATCCAGATATCCATTTACTATTGGTATCCGGATAATCTGACAAATATTCAGATAATTATCCGGATATCAATAGTAAAATGGATATCTGAATAAATTTAGATCTGGATATCCAATAGATAAATGGATAAATGGATAATGGATAGGAACTCTACAGTGTATACAAGTTTTGTTTACTCATTTTTCTCATTTAAAATCTTCAGGGTAGTTTCTATATTTTTGGCAGGTTGAGCAGTATTGATACTGTAATTCCGGTCCTGTTATTATTGGGTTATAGAATAGAAAATCATATTCCTATTTTTAGTTTATTTGTTTTTTTGGGGTCTATTAATAATAATTCTTCCACTGCTTCTATTCGTTCTTTATGTATTTCTATTCAATTTTTAATTATTTCTTCAAGTCTTTCAATTCTTTCTTTCCAAAAGTTTGGGCTTGAGTATTTATATTCTTGAAGGTATTGTATCTTTTTCAGTTTTTTGTTAAGATCTCCTTTTCTTCTATTACATCTTCAAGAATTAATTTATAAAGGTTTGTTGCTGCTCCTGTTTTAGGTACAAATATTTTTGTATGGTATTCTTTAATTAATTCAATAACTTTCCTTTTAGATGGTATTGGGCTTTTATATCCTGTGTACTGTTGAGCTTTCTACTTTAACTCTGCTATTTTAGTCAAGTAGCAATTGTTATATATTGTTTTGAATGATCAATATAAAAGGCTGAGTTTGTATTTTTCTTTTCTATTTTCTCTTTCAACATTTTCAATATCAACTTCTTCAATATTTATTAAGTATTTCTTGCTAACTTAATTAGTTCTCTAATTTCACTTAATTTGTTTTTGTAGATTTCTTTAATATGTTTTAGTGCTCGGCAAAATCAAACAAAAACTCGATTATCGAGTTTTTGAATCTATCGATTTATAGTATTGTGCTTCAATT